CGCCCCGCGGAACCACGTCTCGCGATAGTTACCTCCCGCCACACCCGCCGGCCGCCGGGGCCGCGCGCGCGCACTGGAGGATGTAGGCCGAGTACAGCGCTTCGGCCTCGGCGAACTCGCCCTTGTCGAAGTGGGCCTGGGCTAGGGCGAGGGCAGTTTGGGCTTCGTGCCCCGGCCGGCCAGCCATCGCGGTCGAGCGCCTGACTCGCAGTATGGGAGGGGAATTGACTTTGGGGCGATTAAGGGAGGCGCCACAGGTCCACTTCCGCACTCTGGGATTGGCTAATTAGGAGCCCTCTGCGCTCACGGAAGGCACCTGTGTTCTCGCGAGATAAGTGATCCTTCCCTCCTCCTTCCGCGTGGCTTCCCGGAAGAGCCGGAGCGGCAGGGGGTCGAAGGTTCGAAGTGGCTTCCGCACCTGCGGTGCGAGGAGCTGGCTCGGTCACGGCGCAGTCCTTCCGGTACCCCAACACTGCTTCCGGGTCACCAGAGGACCGCGTCCCGAAGGCCGCGCCGCCCCGGGCCTCAGTCCGAACCCGCCACTGTGCCATGTTCCGGCCTCGTGGACGACCGGGAAGCCGCCTAGTAACCGGAACCGCAGCCCCCGTTTTAGTTCTCGCGGTCCCCCAGTTCTGTTGACTCCCCAACGGTGTCAGCGCATTGCCGTCAGCAAAAAAGACAAAAGAAAACTGTCTCAGAATATTTCCTTGAGAACCCTTCCATAAGGCTTGAGTTACGTGTTGTTCCTTCTCATTTTACAAAGGAAAGCTTACTGCCACCGAAGTGTAATGCATTCATACATACACACACACATACACACCAACAGAAAGGAGATCATTTGAAGGCTATAAAAGAAAATTTAGGGCCGGGCGCTGGTGGCTCACGCCTGTCATCCCAGCTACTCAGGAGGCTGAGATCTGAGGATCAAGGTTCAAAGCCAGCGCCGGCAGCAAAGTCCGTGAGACTCTTTATCTCCAATAAAGCACTCAGAAAACCGGAACTGTCGTAGTGACTCAAGCGGTAAGAGCGCTGGCCTTGAGCTGAAGAGCGCAGGGACAGCGCCCAGGCCCAGAGTTCAAGCCCAATGACCGACCAAAAAAAAAAAAAAATGCACACACATCCTTGCTTGATTTGTAGGCCTTTCTGCCGCAGACAGCTTGCTTGGCAATGTATTGGGACCATTATAGCCCTGTCATTTCCCACCAGACATGCGCACAGACTTCAGAGACCAGTTTTCTTTCATTCAAGCACATAAACTCCTAAATGCCCCTAGGCTCTAAGCCTCTTCTAGCTCATTATTCTCACTCTGCATTATATTTATATATATATAAAATATGACACAGAGGGAAGTGAATTAACCTAAGTATTATAAATTACAATAGCAGTGTAGCATGCTTTTATCGACTCATTGAATATCAGCCAAATTTAAACATACCTTTAAAGTCTTAAGTCTTTTGCCACAAATGGGAGCATGTGAGTTCACAGAAAACATTAGCTATATAAAGAGGTAAGAAACTATCCATTATTGAATGTATTTTTCCTCTTCTAAATTAGTAATAAATCAAAATAGGTATCCATCAAGAAAGAATCACATACACAGAGCAAGACACTTTATTAATGAAGGATGCATTCTGTTACAATGTTTCAAGCAGCACTGTAATAAAATGGTTCTTTCTATAGAAACGTATTTCATAAGCAGAGCCCAAGCTTTCTCACTTCTGAAAATAACACATAGGAAAACCAATTCTTAAAGTATAGATAAAATGGAGCTCCCTTCACATGCTAGTTGCTTCATTCTCTCTAAATTCAAAGTCCCACTCCCATGCCTCCTCCACCCTCACTTACTTCCTTGACATCGTGATAAAAATTTTTATTTGTAGTATTTCCATGGTAGCCAATGTACATAAATAATTAACTGATAGATCAAATAACGTGCACATCCATTTCACAGTTGTATTTTTGTGCAAACATTGTTCTTATCTTTATATTCTGTATAAAAATACACAAAATGTATTTTGTATAAAATGATGGCACTGATTTTCATATAAAACTCATGGAAATCAACATTATTAGAGACACAGGTAAAGCAACATACATTTTGCAATTACATATAGTTCATCTTTAATCCACTGGACTATGGCATAAGGGACAGAAGCTGTAGTTAGTTATTTCCTGAGCAAGAACGTAGTGTTTGCAGACTTTACACATCCAGAACTGATATTCAATGATTGGGCTTCCTGTGGCAATACATGTTGGGAGTTTACCTTCGCCACTATGAAATCAAAGGGAAAAGTAATTATATTCTAATATTTCCAATTTATCTACCCTTATTTAATATACTTATAACTTCAAGAAAAAATTCAAAGTAAACCTCAAGTAAAACATTTTTATTCCAAAAAGTTTTTTACCAAAAATTATTCTTGTAATAAAAAAATCATCAATTCATGTACGCATTATCCTGCCCATGCAATTGTAACCCCTCTGTACAGTATGTTCACAAATAAAATAAAATAAAATTTAAAAAAATCATCAATTCATTTGAAAGATTAAACACTATAATATTAAGAAAATTAGTGCAAACGTTAGTGCTTTAGTTATAGTACATATTTACATAAAGAAATCTAAGCTTCTGAAGTAAATTCAGCTATTAATGATAATTAGCTTACCCTTCAAGAATGCTGTTCAATTCAGATTTTCTGTTATCTTTTGGAATATGTTTGGTAAAGATTTCTAGAGCAAGGTCTTCATACTGCTGTTTCTGTTCTGCAGTGAGACTGTCTAAAGATTCAAGTTTAATAAAAGCTTTTGAACAGGTGCCAAAAGCTCTACAGGCACAGGCACAGAGCGCTAACAGTGAGTAAATCTCTACCGCAGGGATGATATCCTCATAGTCTCTCAGGTGAAGAGCTAGGGAAAAGGGAGGCAATTGACATTGGAGATCAGTGGACATACTCTGAAAAGGATCTCTGTTCAGGTATTCTAGTTGAAACTAAGGAACCTAAGGAAATAAAACAGTGAGAGACGAAGAGGAGGAGCACGCATGGGAGGAAGTGGACACATAATCTCCAGGTCCTGTGAAAATAGCAATCACCAAATAATGCACATAACTATGCTGAATTAGAAACTCACAGAAAACGTTTGACATATTCTTTTGCTCCATTTCATTTAGATATTTCTGTGATAATGACTTATAAATGCTAGGGAGAATCAACATATATGAGAGAGGGTTGCTATACATAATCTCTGAAGAGCTCTTATACAATAAGAAAAAACAAAAATTTACCCTTATGGCAATACATAAGTATTCAAATAGCATAATTTTTCTATGTATGGATTGTTTAAAAACATCCATTATCATATAGAGTAGTAACCTATCTGGATAGAAGGTACTGTGCTCTTAGTGATGACCTGAGACACCATGGATGAAGGCATAGTGGCCATCCAATGTGATGGATAGAGGGTGGGGCTATAAAGGGGCTTGCATGGCTGTCATGGCCAAGCTCAAAGAACAGTAATGTATTCATCGTTCACATAGCTCACAATTATGCTCTTTATAGGGGATTATCTAAACTATCATATTGTCAATCCAGAAGAAATCTAGATATAAGTATCATATGCAAATAATCTATAAATTATAACACATAAACACAAGGAATATTATATAGCTTTAAAATTCATGCGGATTTATGTTTGCCAAGGAAGAAAGATAATATATCCTGTAAAAATATTTTATACAAATTATTAGATTATTTTATTTTTTCTTCATATTTTTCTGTTTGGGCCAAAATTTATAAGGAAAGATCCTTTTTTATTAAAAAATTTAACACATTATTTTATTTTTGGGGGGGGAGGGGGTCCGGTCATGGGGCCTGAACTCTGGGCCTGGGCGCTGTCCCTCAGCTCTTTACCTCAAGGCTAGCGCTCTACCACTTGAGCCACAGTGCCATTTCCAGCTTTTTTCTTTTTCTTATTTGGTGCTGAGGAATTGAACCCAGGGCTTCATGCATGTAAGGCAAGCTCTCTACCACTGAGCCACCTTCCCAGCTCCCACATTATTTTTTTTTTAAGTACATAAGACCTGCCTCAAGCAAGAATAAGACCTTATGTCCTTGTTGAAATTATATTATATCCTCAGTGGTAAAATATTGAAAGCATTATGCTTAAAGAATCAAACAAGAAAATAAAAATCATCATCACATGTTTCATTGATCTTTGCCTTAAAATTTCTAGCCAGAGGAAGGAGAATTATCTTTTTTTCTTTTTTTTCTTTTTTTTTTTTTTTTTTTGTTGGTTGTAGGGCTTGAACTCTGGCCTGGGCGCTGTCCCTCAGCTCTTCAGCTCAAGGTGAGCGCTCTACCACTTGAGCCACAGCGCCACTTCCGGTTTTCTGGTAGTTAACTGGAGATAAGGGTCTCATGGACTTTTCTGCCCAGGCTGGCTTTGAACTGTGATCCTAGATCTCAGCCTCTTGAGTAGCTAGGTGCCTGGCAAATAATGAAATTTGAAAATCCATCCTGAATAAAACTGATTTTTACAAAAATCAACTTTTGTGTGGTATAATTTATACACAGGTTGCATTATATACAGATGTATCCAATAAAATATAACAACCTTAAGTGTGCAGCTGACAAATTTGCTCACCTTTTCATATGACATAGCAAGATCCAGAACATTTTTTGTTATGCCCAAAATATACTCCTGTATATAGTATTATGCTATCACTCTGCATTAGACTGTCTTCTTTAGATTTTCATAATAAATTGAAACAATTTTAAAAATAATAATAATAAAAGTACATAAGAGAGGAGAAAATTCTCTACTTAACACCAGAACAAGAGAAGGATAAATTTCATTTCACAGACAAAGAGACAAGACCAGAACATGAGCTGATTGAGAGCATGCCCCTCTTGGAATGGTTGTCTAACAACTATAAAAAAATTGTAGCTACATTAGAAATTGTCACAGATAAATCACAAAAAGGAACCCAGTTTGTGAAAGGATTTGGTGGAATTTTGCGGTACTGAGTAGATTTCCAGGGAATGGAATACCAAGAAGGAGACAATGAATGATGACTACTAGGTAGTGGACATGGGTCTGGCAAAAGGTGCTTCACCCTCCAGCATCCAACCCAAGGAGCATACCCATGATGGAATCCAAACAGATGCCTACCTTACAATTGGAACCTTTCCAGAACTTAATCCATGAGCATTGGATACTGAAAAGAAAACTGAAACAAAACCAGACCCAACCCTACACTTTGGTTTGTCATGGTGTCAGCAAAGCAACCTACAACTAGGTTTCACTTTGTACTAATTAAAAAAAAAAATCCTGTTTTACTTTTACTCAATGGTGAAATTGGTTGCTCTTGTATTTATGAAAAAAATGATTTTTAACCTTCATACATAGAATCAAAAATACTTTAACTTCTGTGAACCTTCAAAAGTTAATAGCAGTGAGATCATACTGTTTTGTTATTTTGATTGGAGAAAAATTAAATTCCTGCATTTCACAGTGACCCATTTACATGGCATTCTCAGCTTAGACTGCATAAGAAGAAATACATGTAATGACATGTTGGAACCATTCTCTCTTGGTCTTTTGGTTTAATGTTGAAAGGGTGAGCTAATAGGAAGCAGTTTCAACTTAACTCCCTGAGAATGACTCCCCACTCCAGACTGTTGGTTTCAAGGATGCAGACTGCAATGCAAAGTCAAACTGATGAAGCATTGGGGCCAGTGCGCTGTTTACTTCCATCTGCTCAACAGGCACATTTGTACCTGAAATTTGGGAGCCCTTTGTATCACTTGCTTTGACAAAGGTCCCCATAATCTTAGCCTACTAGAAACCAATTGGGGAGGGATATGATCAGGCTCCTGTGCTATTGCTGGAATTGGAGAAATAAAACCTGCAATTTAAATGGAAGCAAAAAAAAAAAGTACATAACAGTAGACTCTGTTATACTTCCCAATATTATAAAGTTTATAAAACATAGTCATGAGCCTGAACATGGACAATTCAGATCTCCAAAACAGCAGAAACTGGACTATTAAATATTTAACCTAAGGGGAGAGAGTACAAATGCTACCCTTTTTCATTTCTCAAATATTTAATATCTGTGAATTTGTACTGCTTTCTATGTATGAGAAAAGAAAACTTTCAAAAAGGGACTACATAAGTATACTATTTATAGTTTTAATTATATAGCAAGTAATTATATATAGTTTACATATAGTTTGTAATTATACTATATAGTTTGCTTAGCTATCTTGTTTTCATAAGCAAAGTATATATTATAACTTCAAATAGTTGAAAATAAGTCCATAGGGGAAAATGTTACTGAAATTAATTGAGACAAATGGAGGAAGCAGGCCCTCCATACAACACACATTAGGTGACAAGCCCACCTGTCTTCAAGGCGGTATCAACATATCCCTCATAGAGCTGCCTCTGAGCAAGGATAAAGAAGTGGTAAGCCTCCGCCCCTCGCCATGCATTATCTGTAAAACGACTGGTTGTGGACTGGGCTTCCTCTTCCATCAAACCCGCCAAAGCAGAAGTGGCCTAGGAGAAAAGCCAACTTGTTGTCAGTATGTGTGTATGTGTGCACACGCATGCGTGTGCGCACGCGCGCGCGCGCGCACACACACACACACACACACACACACAGAGTCTGCCCCACACAGCAAGGACTTACAATGATAGCAAGATCTGAATTAGTGCTACATCAACATGCCTAAATTTGAGTGCATTTTATCATAATGTTCTTATTACAGACTTGATTTTTCTATTAAAATTCATATTTTCTTAAGCCAGTATGATCAAATTTTAAAACAACTGATCCAACTTATAATTAAATGGAGTTCATTTAATTTAGTGAGATTCATTCATAATATATGTATAAAGACACACATATTTACTAGGTAGGAAGGTCTTTGAGACTCATATCCTCAGTTAATCACAGAAAAAACTGGAAACTGCAACAGCTCAAGTGGTAGAGTGCTAGCCTTGAACAAAAGAAGCCCAGGGTCAGCACCAAGGCCCACAGTTTATGTCCCAGGACTGGCAAAAAAAAAAAAAAAAAAACATAATTTAAGGTTTTTTGTTTTTTTGGCTTTTTTTTGTTTTGTCAGTCATGGGGCCTGAACTCTGGGCCTGGGCACTGTCCCTCAGCGCTTCAGCTCAAGACTAGCGCTCTACCACTTGAACCACAGCGCCACTTCTGGCTTTTTCTGCTTATGTGGTGCTGAGGAATCAAACCTAGGGCTTCAATGCATGCAAGGCAAACACTCTACCACTGAGCCACCTTCCCAGACCCTCTAAGAAGATTTTTAATTCTCTGATCAGAAAGGGGGATTTACTAAGCAAGTAAAAATGTTATCATAAAACTAACACTAGCCTTACAGAAAAACCATTCTATATTTCTATAGAAATGTCTTAACTACACCATACCTTTTCCGCATGTGGTAAAGAAATAAACATAGACATGTCCATAAAGAGGTGTACTCCATCTCCCTGTCTTAATCACTTCATGCTCTGCCTGACTCACCTGTGAATTCTTTCCTTGAACTTTCCCCCGTTGGGCATTTTTCATTTGTTCATGGTACTGCTCTATGAGTAAGGCTGATAGTACATAGAGCTTCTTAACACGCAGCGGTTTAGTCCTTTTCTTTGCCTCGTCATCTGCAACCTTGAAACAGTTCAAGATTGGGAAAGACAGTTGTAAAACTACCATCTTTTCCAAAATCAGGTGAAATTTGATTCTCTAATAAAGGAGGAAGCTCAGTTAGGATGGTGTATAAACACTACTATTGGGTCTAATGTTTTAAAAGCCATTTTCTTTTCCTTACTACTTGCAGAAGGTTAGTTCTTCCCTTAGTTTTTAGGCCTGGAGTTAAAACTGTTGGCAATCTTAAAAATAAAATAGCATCTGATATTAGTAACTGAGTCAAGGTGAAGAAAGGGATGATGGAATAAGTGATATTTTCCGTAACACAGAGATTTAGAAATAAAGTTCCAAATACACAAAGATAGTGTGGCATTAACATAACTCATCCTTCAGAAGTTTAAACTTATTTAGATGGTTTTGAGAGAAAGTTTACTACTTTTTATTAAACTAAACGAAATGCAAAATCTACATGGATTACCAGTTAGTATTCATTCCAAATAAGACATTTTGCAACATATAAAGTTTGAAATTTTGTACATTTATAAGGACTTAAAACTATCATTGGGGAAAATGAAAGAAGGGGTAACATTGACCAAGAAGCATTTATACTCATAACCTGACTTATGGAATTGTAACGCCTTTGTACAGCTACTTAATAATAAATAAATAAGCAAATAACTCTATCATTAATAGGATTTAATTTCTTGTTAAGATAATGGGTTCTTGACAGTCCAGTGAATTCTTCACTTTATTGTTAACTTCAGTACCAAATACAAAATGTTTAGGTATTGGGAAGTTGCTGGTGTCAGCAAATAGCTTTGGTAGTAGTAGATGATAAATAATACACATAATTAAAGTAGTAATAAAAAATAGATAAGCCTCGAGCCAGTGGCTCATGCCTGTAATCCTAGCTACTCAGGAGACTGAGATCTGAGGATCACGGTTCAAAGCCAGCCCAGACAGGGAAGTCCATGAGACTCTTGTCTCCAATAAAACACTAGAAAAACTGGAAGTGGTACTGTGGCTCAAGCGGTAGAGTGCTCACCTTGAGCTGAAGAGTGCAGGGACAGCGCCCAAGCCCAGAGTTCAAGCCCCACAACCGACCAAAAAGAAAAAAAAAAGATGGGTTTGCTGTAACAAGTATTTTGTCTCCAAGATAAGGAAAATGTATTCAATACCATGCTTAAATTTTTGAGGGGACTAGAGGTATAGCTCAGTGCCAGAGAGCTTATCTAGCATGCTCAATCCTCAGGACTGCAATAAACATTCTAGACCAAAAAAAAAAAAATCTAACTAGAATAAGCCAAATACCAAGACTGTTACATTACCTTAAACATTAGTTTAGCAGCATCGAAAAAGTAACTGGCTTTCCGATAGAGTTCTATGGCATCAAGAGTTTTATTCTTTTCCAGTAAATGAGAGGCATACCTAGCCAATAAGGACCCAATTTCTTTCATATTATGACTTTTAGCCAATTCAACAGCTTTGTTCCACTAGGAAAAAAAAATATACCATTTAGTCACTCAACTACTTACATAACATTTATCATAAACTTCACCCAGAAAGACTTTAGTCGTGTTTTAGGTTTGGAAACACCAAAACAACAGCCGTATGGTGAGTTTCAGTCCCTTACTTGGTTGAGATGCACACAGCTATCCACTGCTGACTTTGGTTGATTACATTTCAGAAATGCATTCACTGCTTGCTCACACATTCCAACTCTCTCAAACATTTCTGCTATTTCCTGTAAGCACAAAAAGTATCTGATTTTACAGTCCAAGAAAACCATTTATATTTTAATTCAGCAAAACTCCATGGAGATATAAAAAATAGTAAACTGATAGAGTGATCTTTTTTTCTTTTAAACAGAGAAGAGGAGCAGAGGCTACAAAATTGAACAGATGCTAAAGCTTCTCCTTCTATAAAACCATTACCTCACTGGCTCAAGCCTGGAGGCACTGCCATTCTACCTTCTCCCAGCTGGTAAACAGAAATGTCAAGCTCCAAAACAATCCTATACTAGAAGGGGCAAGAGGGAGTTAAGTGAACTGTTTGTGTGCTCAGTGGAATCGTAGAAGCTCTAAAGAACCTCTATAAAGAAATTCACAGTGAGAGTAAGTGGAGACTGCCGAGGAAACAGTGGAAAGGGAAGGAGACAAAAAGAAGAATACTAGAGGGTGAAGAGGATCAAAGAATGAGATATGATATCATAACGAAACTCACCAAACATTAAAGGGTTGAGGTAAAATGGGGGGATTAAGGAAATAGAAAGTGGATTTTTTCAAAGTATATTGCATGTATATATGGCATTATTGTAATGAAGCTCCCTTGTACTTTTAATATTTGCTAATAAAATTAGTTTTTAAAAGTTGATAATTTACTACAGGGCAATTAACTGTAATTCTGTATTATCTTACAATATATATGATTATAGGGAAAAAGAATGGGGCAACACTGGAAATAGATACAAACAGGAGCAGAGAGAGAATAAAAGAGAGAAGGAGGGAAGAGAAGAGAGGAAGGAGGGAAAGGAAGGAAGGAAGGAACGAAGGAAGGAACAAAGGAAGGAACGAAGGAAGGAACAAAGGAAGGAACGAAGGAAGGAAAAGAAAACACATGCAGATAGGCACTGGTGGACTGGTGGCTCACAGTATAATTCTAGCTAATCAGAAAATTGTAACTAATCAGAGGCTGAGATCTGAGGATCAGGTTTCAAAGCCAGCCTGGAAGACAAAAACATCAAGATTCTAATCTCCAATTAACCAGCAAAAAGCTGAAATTGGAGATGCAGCTCAAGTGGTAGAGCACCAGCTAGACAAAAAGCCATGAAGTCCTGAGTTCAACCCGAGTACTGCTCACACAAAGAAGAAATCACCATCACAGGGTTGTGGGTTTTGTTTTATTTGTTGCCAGTCCTGGAGCTTGAACTCAGGGCCTGGGCACTGTCCCTGAGCCTCTTTTGCTCAAGGCTAACACTCTACCACTTGAGTCATAGCAACACTTCTGGCTTTTTCTGTTTATGTGGTACTGAAGAATCAAACCCAGGGCTTTGTGCATGCCAGGCAAGCACTCTACCACTAAGCCACATGCCCAGCCCCAGGGATAGCTGTTTTAATTCACAATAAGAAAATCAAATTATAGAATTCTATATTTGTCTATTAACTGTTACCCAGCAAAAACACAGCTTCTGTGAGTCCAGATCCTATAACAGAGAGCTGCTTACTCCATATGTATTGTATAGTTCAGTGATTCAAATATTAGGTGAACAAATACACTACTAACTCGTTAACAATATGCGATAACTAAAGGTAGCTGAAAAGAGCATTCAAAAGAAAAAGAGCTTTGCTCTTAATTTTTTAAATGAAATAGTTAAGATAAAACAAACATTCGATGCTGAAATTTTCTAGTCATTTCAAGATATTTTGAAGCAAATGCCTGCTAACATATCATTTGTCTGCAAACATTCCATGTTTTTTTTTTGAAGATGAACTATTGGAATCTTTATTATACAGTTAGCCAGCTGCAGGCCGCCCGTTGTTACAAAGGCCTGCAGCCTCCAAATATACATAACATGGTTAGGAAACAGACAAGAGAGGGAAGAAAGAACAAAAAAACTACCAACAAATCAATTCAGCTCCCATGGAGAGCTGAATTGGGACACCAGGACGACTGGAGACAAGAGACAGGACACGATCATGGAGACACATGTGGCATGGCACCAAGTAGCCCATGCTTTAAAAGTGATTTTAAAAGCTGTTTTAAAAGCAATTTTATGAAACTGAAAAAAATTGATAATCTGATGACTATTTTCCCCTCCATTTTCAAGTTTCTGTAATACTGATATATTGTTTTAAAATGAAAATAAAAACATCATTCTATACCTAAAAAACTATAAACAGAAAGATTTTTCAATTATTCTTGTTGCAAGGAATATTTCCTGACTACACATTAAAATTTTATAAGATAACCTAAAAACTTCAAGAGCTAACAATTATAACACCTACTGGAAGCAACTTGTGGTTTTCTGGAAGTGAGTTGGCAAGATTCTCTAATCCCTCCAAATCTTCTAACATATAGTAACATTCTGCTAGGCGTTCCTGGTTCCGACCTTGCACATAATACTGGACAGCATTCAACCTGTGGGAAGAAAACAAGGAAAACTTCTAGGACTAACACAAACTTCCTACCAAAATGGTCCTTCATTAGAACTGTTGGTACAGGTGTTACTCCCTTGGTCATTCATCTCAGTTACACAGTACCTTCAAAACATTTAAGCTGCAAAATACTTAAAGACCATGTAGCATTCTAAAATTCTTTATAGTGGTAACATTGTTACTTATCATCAGGAGATATTATACTCCCAAACACTGCCACATATAGATAAGCATACCGATCCAAATGGAAACTTAACAAATGCAATGATTCCTGAAAGTAATCTATAATAACACAAGCAAATATGAACTGGTTTTCACTTCGTTCATAAATAAGCCATATCATAACATCTTAGTATTAAATACTATGATCTCAGACAACAGAAAGCTACCTGGAGTTAAATGCTGTCTGTAAACTCCAAAAATTTACAATGCTCATCTTGCAACTTCTTGTTCTCCACTTAAATTTAGAGCTAATTGAATCTTAGAACAGCTAATTGAATCTTTTTTTCCCCAGCACTACTGCCAAGGCAAGTCCTCAAGTAGCTACAATTCTAAGCATGCATGAATTCAGGAAGTGCTCTGGCGACTTTTACATACCACTTTTGTCGGTCAGCAAAGTAGTCTCCAATGGCGTTGTGGGCTTGTTCCAGGAGACTGTCATCTGCATCACCAGATCCAGTTTTCAGGAGTTGCAGTACTCTAAACCAATCCCCCAACTTCAGCCGGAGGCCAATAGCAAGATCTCTACAAACAACGAGATCTTCATTCATTCATTCATTCATTCATTCATTCATCCATCCTACAAATGTTTATCAGTGTCTACAACAAACTCAGTATAGCTCTAGCTACAGAGAAGACAGACAAGGCAGCTCTCCAAATAGCCTGGCCAATATATTGATCAAGTGACTAAGCTTATCCATGAGTGATTAATGTCTTTATAAGGGGTATCAGAGAAAACTCATGCCTGCCCACAATGTGAGGATACAAAATTCAAGGCCCATTCTGCAAGCAGAGTCAGGACTATCATCAGACACTAAACCTGTGGCCCCTTGATCTTAGATAGCCAGCCTTCAGAACTGTGAGAAATAAGTCTGTTCAGGAACTTGGTTATAGTAATACAAGTAGACAATGACACCAGAGGGGAAAAAAATCTGTTTCCAGTCTTATTTTCCTGGACTTCCAACTTATTTAACAACTTAATTAATAATTTCTTTCATTAGATTCTTAGATAGAATCAGGTTTATATTGAAACAGAACATATAGGATAAATACATTTGGTTTTTATATTTCTTTTCAGTGCTTAAGTATTATTAGAGATCTCCTGAAGAATAAAAAACAATAATAAAAATTAGAAATAATGTTCACAGCTGAAATGAAGTACATAACTATATATGTATATACATGTTATATATATAATTAAATATAAGCAATAATATTCTATTTTAATGGCATTTGATTTTATACTTACTGAGAGCAGAAAATTAAGTAACAGCCTAAATGAGAGAATTAAATCATGAATTGTATAATAAATAACAAAAGCTCCTATTCTCCATAGCTCTAACAATTTTTCCCAGAAAACATAAAAATGAAAACAATCTCCACTGTCAGAAATAAAACAAAGAAAAAGCCTACCTCCAATGATAAAACAATTTGGTGAGAGACATATAGAATATCTTTGATTGTAATCCAAACTGAAAATTATTTTCTAAAAAAGATGCTATGACCCAGTGTCAGTGGCTCACACCTGTAATCCTACCAACTCAGGAGCCTTAGATCTGAGGACTGTGGTTCAAAGGCAACCTGGGAAGGAAAGACCATGAGACTCTTAACTCCATTTTAACTACTAGAAATGGCACTATGGTTCAAAGTGGTAGAGCACTAGCCTTGATCACTAGCTCAAGGATAGTACCTCAGCTCTGAGTTCAAGCTCCAGAACTGGTACACATTCACATTCACACATATTCACATTCACACACATTCACACACAGTCACACACACACACACACACACACACACACACACACACACACACACACACACGATGCTATGATATACTTAGTTTTATATTGCAAAATACTATGAACTCTAGAGTACTTGTACATGCTTGCCCCTTCACAATTTACCTTCTGTCCATTTCAAGATACATTCTCTCAGCCTCTTCAAACCTGCCAAAGTAGGTAACAACCTCAGCCTTCTTCATTGACTCGCTCTGCAGATTGCCCAAGCGCTTCACAAACTTAATGCCTTGGTAATCTCTGCAGCGCACAAATGCTTGCTCTGCAGTGTCCAAGTCCAGCTTCTGAAGAGCTGCTTCAGCCAACAGGCGCCTTTATTTTAAAAAGATAAGTAAAAAAGAGGGGAGGGGAGTCTTACTAGTAATTACTAGTAACCATACCTATTATTTTCAGGGAAGTGATTATCCTAGCACATGCAACTATCTTTCATTTAATATTGTACTGATATTGAAGACTTCCAACTCTAAAGTGAATTTCTATATTTTAAAAAGAACAGCTAGAAGCTGTGTGTTGTGGTACACACTCATAATCCCAGCTACTTTGGAGGCACAAGTAGGCTGGCCCCAGGCAAGAACATGATAATTTACCAAATAATAACTAAAGCAAAGGTGGCTGGGAGCCACCTGTAGAGCACCTGTCTATCAAGCCTGAAGTCCTGAGCTCAAACCCCGGCATGATTAAAAAAAAAAAAAAGAGCAAGACAGAAAGACCAAGACTGAAAACTAGTGTAGAGAGAGGATGACAGCAAGAACTCTACACATGACAGGTGGGGATTCAATACCAAAGTCGGGGGTGTGGATTGTTCTCTATGAACTGAGACGCATCTTCAATTCCAACCTTCTCAATTAATGCTCGACTGTCTCGCAGAGATCGAACCTCGAAGTTCATTATGTAATCCTTGTTTGGATGTTCTGGATTCTAAAAGCAAAGATAGAAAACAAATAATTCAAAAGGCTGCCTAGACAATATGTTTCTTCCTTGCAATTAAAAATAGAACAAGAAAGCAACAAAATCAGATGCTCTATACTGTGAGCAAAACTATGAAGGAAAGACATTCCTAACAGCCAAAACACATGAATAAGTAAGTCCCTACTGAGCCTTGAGGGAGACGTGGACAATGACAGGAGTGCTTCCTGGGTCTCTCAGCTCAGTTTCTTCCCTGGGAACATATTTCCCACCCAGTGTGCTACCTTCTGCCAAAGCAGAAACCCACAGACAGTCACCTCCACTCCCCCATCCCTTCATCTAAGGACAAATGCCAGATAAACAGACTTTTGTAAATGTCCACTCCCTTTCCTTTCTTTTTGTATTTCTTTAGTCCTCCAAAAATAGTATTGTGTTATTCTTAAAAATACATGCATGAAGTGAGGTTGGAATACTTTGTAAACATGTGTGGAAACATAGTGAAATCCCACTCTTCTCACATAACTAATGTAAGTCCCAGCCCCAAAGAAAAACTATATGCTTAGAGGAATACACAGTCCCATGAGACATTTCCTGGCCAACAAGGTCAGAAAAGAAGCATGACTACATTCTTTGCTTGAGTCGGTTGTGTATATAGTAGGTAGATAACAAAATGGTGGCAACAAGTTTGGGGTCTGTTTTAGCTTGTCTACCCTATCTGCACCCCTTCTCAACAAACTGAACACACATGCTGTAGATAGGCTTTCTCCTAATCCTAGATACATATAAAATGCACTTAAGCTATCAAGAATCTCAGGCAAGCCAGGCATTGGTGATCATGACTGTAATCCTGGCTGCTCAGGAAGCTGAGATCTGAGGATTGTGATTCAAAGCCAACCAGGGCAGAAAAGTTTCCATGGGACTCTTATCTCCAACTAACCACCAGAAAACTGGAAATGTAGCTGTGATTCAAAGTGGTAGAGGACTAGTCCTAAGTGAAAGAGCTCAGAGGTAGCACCCCGACTCTGAATCCAAGCCCCATAACTAACCAAAAAGAAAAAAAAGATCTCACAGTTCATCTAATCAATCTAAATATATATTTTCTAAAATCATTTAAAGTGCAATTATCATTACTGTAAGTACTATTATAGTTACTGTAACTTCTAACTGGATTTTAAAGGACACAGAAAAACCACAATCTAAAGAGAGTTCACAACAGCTTCTCTGAAAATACTGTATACAACTTAAACAGCCACTGAAACACACTCATTCCTTTTACAGGTTATAGAACTTACACATGGCCAGGTCCTTCTCTTCACCATTTGCAAAACGTTCTATCCACACCAAAGAGGGAAACATTTAACCATGGTAACTGTATATTTGTAGGTGTGGGAGACTCAGACTTTGTTTGGCTTTAAGCATCCTATCCCCCTCCCTGTTTCCACCTAGTGTGGTCCTGCTGATAGGAGAACCCAGGTGCTCCCTCTTTGGGACCAGCCAGAGTTTCAATGACATCCACCCTACCCTTAAGAACTAAAGCATAGCTAAGAGAGCAGGGCTGGTCACAAGATCTGCTGACCTCTGGCTCCATTCCCCTAACCAGAACGCCACAGGCCTGGTCCAAACAAAAATCCTAATCAAGCCAGCAAGAGAAGAGAATTGTTTGCTTGTTTTTTAATTTACCTTCAATATCTCATCCAAAAGAACAGATTTGATTTCCAAATCCTCAAAGTTACAAATATATCCAGAAGTCTGAATGGGTTCCTTTAAAGACAAAGACAAGTGTTAGGTTTCATTATACAAAATGTCCCCTTCTTTAGAGTGTTCTTTTGTTCCAAATATTTTACTTACCTTTATTTTTATTTATTTTATTTATTTATTATGGTTATAGCAAAGGTGATGTGCAGAGGAATTACAGTTGCATGTCAGATAAGTACATTTCTTTTTGAACAATGTCACCTCTTTCCCCCCTCACTCACAGTTTTTCCCTCCCATCCCCACCCAAAAGCTGTAGAGCAGTTCATTTTCAAAATAGTGTCTAATGAGTACCACTGCTGCGTTTGTTCACCCTTGTCCCACCATTTCTATGCTTACCCTTACCTTCCCAAAGTCAGATAAACAAAGAAGACAAAAGGAAAAGAAAATAAAAATAGCAACAAAAAATCTCTTGTTTCCATTTCCTAATAATAATAAATATTAGTTTATATGATTAGATGCACGTAGCTATTGAGCCTTTGTGATTCCTCCTAAAAATATCATCCTTTGGTCTCACTCTGTATGAATGCCTAAAGACCTGTAAAATTTATCATGTCCTAGTATATTTTTTTCTTTTACTATCCAGTGGGTTTACTTGAATTGATCAGCACAGTCTAGTTACCAAATGAGGGAATAGACACATGAATAAAAATTCAACATCCCTAGTCAAAAAAGAAATGCAAATCAAAATAACATTGAGATTCCACCTTGCCCCAATTAAAATGGCCATTATCAAGAAAACTAACAATAAAAAATGCTGGTGAGGATGTGGCTACTGTTGGTTGGAAAGTAAACTTGTCCAACCACTGAACAGCAGTATAAAGGTTCCTCATAAGACTAAACATAATCCAGAAATTCCACTCCTGGGCATTTATCCAATAGACCACAAACAAGGCCACACTAAAGCTACCAGCACAGCCATGTTCATTGCAGCATTGTTTAGCATAGCCAAGATATGACATCAACCCAAATACTCCTCAGTGGATGAATAGATCAAGAAAATGTAGTATAGTCTATATACATAAAAAGAATGAAATTGTACCATTGGTAAAGAATGGAAAGACCTGAAAAAAATTATATTAAGTGAAGTAAGCCAGACCCAAACATATATTGATGTTTTCCCTCACTTGTGGTAATTAAAATGTGCCTTTAGAGTAGTCTTGACATATCTCCTACATAACATTTCATTTGCCAATATACAAGCACATGAGTCCATTATATTTCTTTACCTTATCTCAGCATTATATAAGCTTATAGAAAAAAGCATAGGATATGCATATTATAAGGTAAAGTAGCTGCTCTAAATTCTTAATAATAAAAGAAGTGTAAATATTCTATGAGCCAAAATAAATAAAACTGCTAATAAACTTCACCTCTGGGGCTGGGAAGGTAGCTCAGTGGTAGAGTGCTTGCCTTGCATGCATGAGGCCCTGGGTTCAATTCCTCAGCACCACATAAGCAAAAAGAAAAAAAGCCAGAAGTGGCACTGTGGCTCAAGTGGTAGAGCGCTAGCCTTGAGCTGAAGAGCTGAGGGACAGTACCCAGGCCCAGAGTTCAGGCCCATGACCGGACCCCCCCCCAAAAAAAAGGTGATCTGTGGGTTAAAATGAAATACCAAAAACAAAGACAAAGGGAGAAAGGGAAAGGAAGAAAGATTAAAAACAATAGATTTTCAATGATCTATGTTTATTGGCCTATAAGTAAACATGAATAGATATTTATGTCATTTTTTAACTCAACTTCTGCTTAAATTATATCAACTAATTTCCTTTATTTTCCAAAGTTCATTACTTATTTATCCATATCTCAGTTGAATATGTAGTTTAAGACCCAAGGCCTACAAATCAAGGTACAACTGCCTAAGTAGTATGCAAGTATTTCCTTTATCAAAAAAGTATCTATATTTTATTCCTCTACAACACAGTGAGAAACTGGTCCCCTCCCTCAGCACAGTCAGAAGGCAGAGCAAGTTTAACACAACAGACATCCTAAAATGCTCTAACTTGTCTATTCAGTATAGCACATTGTGACATGCTGTTTGTATACACCTAGACTAAGCATATACCTAGATTAGCTACCTTGCATAAATTGGACAAGTAGCTTTAAACGTTTGTTTAAAATCTGAGGGGGTTGTTTTTTTTTCACCATGTATTCCAGTATTATCTTTCCATACTTGGTGACTATGTATATAGATGGCATAAGGAATCCCACTGAGCACTTATACAATCAAGCCTAAGAGGGACAGGGCAAAAGAGCAACAGAAGGGAGTCAATCTGACCAATGTAAGGTACTATGGTACAATACCCTTGTACAATAAATATACACTAAAATGATGAAAACAATGAATAATGGGAGGGTAAAAGGTTCTGATGGGAATAAACATAGAAGAGATATTTTATATGAATGTATGTAAATAGAAGAATGAAATCTGTTGAAACTGTTTTTTTTTTTTTAGGACTTTCTTCTTTTTTTTTTTTTTTTTGTCAGTTGTAGGGCTTGAACTCTGGGCCTAGTCGCTGTCCCTGCATTCTTCAGCTCAAGGTGAGCACTCTACCATTTGAGCCACACTACCACTTCCAGTTTTCTAGTGGTTAATTGGAGAAAAGAATCATACAGACTTTCCTGCTTGGGCTGGCTTTGAATCCAGATCCTCAGATCTCAGCCTTCTGAGTAGCCAGAATTACAAGCGTGAGTTACTGGTGCCAGGCTCTTTTTAAATTTTTTATTACTATATTTTGCATATATGGTACTGAGGAATTGAACCCAGAGCCTCATGCATGCTAGGCAAGCACTCTACCACTAAGCCACATTCCCAGCCCTGAAATTGTTTTAAGAAAGGGGAAGGGAGAATGACAGAGGGGGGGTACATGTGGTTGGTGTAATTATATGCATGCATAGAAATATCACAATGAAAGCCTTCTTGTGCAGCTGCTAATAGCTGCTAATTTTAAAAAACCTTTTTAAAAGTTGGCTGAACTGAGCCACAGAAAGTTAAATTTAACCTGAAAAATGAGTGAGTAAGGGACGTTCTGATACCCAGAAGAAAAAAAGACTATTCACAACCATATTTGTAAGAACACTTGGGGAGAGAAAGAATGTGGATTAGTGGTTGGTATGGTAACCCAAAGAAAACACAAAATAGACACATTGGCAGAAAAGAAGGAAAGAACAATTAGTTTTTTTTGTACAAAAACTTAGTAAATAAAACAATTTTGTTTATTTTTCTTTGTACTTTGATGAGGGGAAAAAACACTTTAAAACAAACAAACAAATAAATGAAGCTAGGCACAAGTGCCTCACGCCTGTAATCACAGCTAAAATCTGAGGCTCATAGTCCAAACTCAGCCCGGACAGGAATTGTCCATAGATACTATCTTTAATTAACCACCAAAATGCCAGAAGTAGAGCTGTGGTTCAAGTGGTAGAGTACTAGGCTAGTCTTCAGCAAAAGAGCTCAGAGACACAGCCCACACCCTGAGTTCAAGCCTCAGAAACAGCATACACATGCACACACACACACACACACACACACCATTTTTAAAAAACAGATGTCTAGGAAGTACCTTTCAGAGAAAATGGAAACTATTTAAAAATGGAGTATTATTTCCAGCTCAAATAGTTTGAAACTCTACAGAAATGTTTTATTTACATTCACAAACATATGCATCTATCATACCTCTTAAAAGAGGTTTTGGGGCTGTGAAGTTGGCTCAATGGTAGAGTGCTTGCCTAGCATGCATGAGGCCCTGGATTCAATTCCTGAGCACCACATAAGCACAAAAAAGCCGGAAGTGGCACTGTGGCTCAAGTGGTAGGGCACTAGCCTTGAGCTGAAGAGCTGAGGGACAGCACTCAGGCCCAGAGTTCAGCCCCCCCAAACCCTCCCCCAAAAAAGAGGTTTTGCTACTTGGCTCATTATTTCTAGACCGTTAACATTCATTTCTTGATTTACCTCAGGATCCAAGTTTCTGAAAACATACATCCTTGTCTTCTCCATCATTGCAAACAAATCAGGATTATCCTTGGCCCACTTCATATCCCAGACGTCTTTCCGCTCCAATTTCAACAGCTCTCCAGTTACTTGCTGTCCTGTACTGTCAGTCACCCGAACATCCAGGTCGAAGAAAGTGAGAACTCCAGAGATGTCTATGATAGCAAGACGACTAGAAACAGTGTATTTGGAGGAGGAGAAAGATGTACAAAATTATTCTCAGCAATCATGAGTGGAACCACCTACAAAAGCAATTTATCAGAAAACTGGAATATGGTACAAATGGCTCTTGAACTTTTTAAATACATTTGATAGAAGGTATACATTATTCTCCATTTTGCTTCCCTATAAAGAAAATATACAGAATTCATATGAAAATATGATCTGTTCTATATTCACTTACTCATCTAAGTAGTATGTGCAAAATAAAATGTGTACCTAGATTGCCATATTCCAACAGAGAAAATCATTGAAACCAAATACAGTGTAGTAAAACCACTCCCAACTTTAAGATATGTTCATAACAAACACACCTGTCTTCACTTTTACTATATAAATCCAACTCTTCCCCCTGAGGACAGTTCTCAGGCTTACCTAGAGTTGCAATTCAGAGACAATTGGTAGGCTCGACAATGTAGGCAATACTTTTGAATCAGAGCGACATTAGGAAGACTATATCTCTGAACGGTTCCAGATTCACGACCCTAAGGAATTTATCTTTGATTACTAAGTTGTATTTACCATAACAAAATTAGACTACCACCTCAGGTCTCTCTATAGATTCATACTTTTTTTAATCAAAGTAATATAGTCTTAATAAGTTCCCATTTCCAATACTGAATCAGTTTACTAAATATATGTTTATCTCCTAATTTAATTTCAACCTTTTTTTCAAGTGGCTGAAAATGTTTTCTCATAATATTCAAGAAAGATGTCCAAAGCCTAACTCCTTAGTAATATACAAGTTCTTATATAACAAGGAAGAAATATCTAAGGTTTTTTGAAATTGTATAGGTTATTATATGGAGTATGTTAGGAGCTAAGATATAGAGAACACTTATTGAAATTAAATTTCACATATATGAAAAATCACCAGAGGATCAAGTTATGAAACATCTGTTACTGAAAGTCTCAGTTTTATCTTATATAGCCCATTTTGTACTAGGTTTTAGCAATGGAAACAATGACCTAAAAGCAGGATATGTTGAGAGGTGTGTGTGTGTGTGTGTGTGTGTGTGTGTGTGTGTGTGTGTGTATGTGTGTGTGTGTTGAGAGGTGTGTGTGTGTGTGTAAAATACATGTTTCTATGCAACTCTGGGCAACCACCAAAGCTGATGTGAGCAGGAAGGACAACAGACAGGAGAGAGCATAGCTTTCAAACCCTTCGGTGCCAATGGGAGCCACACAGCTGCCATATAGCCAATCTCTACCTCTTCCCTTTTTAACCAGAGCAACACTGCTTCTGCAGCCCAGTTCTCAAGAAGGACCAATCAGGAAGGGTGACTACTACCAAACACAATGCTCTTAAGAGTTTTTTCCCCATGAAACTACTGGCAAAAAAAAACCTAAAACTGGAAATATATGCTATTGAGACTCTATTTATGCAATTCAAATACAGCTCCATCAGCCCTGCCATATTAAACATTTATTTCTAAAATTAATATTTTCAAATGGCAGAGCTCAAGAAAAGACACTATACTATTAATTCTACTGGAAAAAATTAGCAGAAACTTGCCAGGGATTTCTCTATTTTAATGTCTGGCAAACATCATTACCTCTTCATTCTAAGTCTTATGAATATAGCCAAAGCACTCTTTCAATGTGTAATATCAGGCTACATACAGAGGAAACTTAGTCCTAACTCCCACTGCGCAATCTACCCACCTCATCGGCCCTTTGTAGGGCTCATTCCACCTTCTCTGCTTTTAGAAATAGCTAGTAGTGGAAATGATTAATCATTTTTGAGGCAGGCTTTAAATTTTTCTCATCTCTTATATGAGGATATCCTTGAGGTACCCACAAGATGATAATTCAAATCCAAAACTCATTGCTTTATCCTAGTTTTACAATTTGAACAATTTTATTCATAAAGTAAATTTACTGAAACTTACCACAATCAATGTCTTATCAGATGCAGTTATGGCACAAATTGGATCTCTTGTGCCCTAAAATCAATCAATCAATCAATAATTATTGTTTCAAAAATATTCATCAAATGACTAATCTGGTACACAATAGCATTAGCTCACTAAGAAGAATATATCAAAAATATATTAACAGAAATTTATTTACAGAGCACATACTTTGTGTCAGACACTGAACTAAGCACTAGAGATATTCAGGTAAATCTTTACCTCAGAGGATTACTCACTGTCCACAGGGAAAGATGGTGAGCTGAACACATAATTAAAGACAGCATAATAAAAGAAATATCTTACACTAAAATTGGCAAAAATCTCAGCCTACAGATAAAAGACTGAATAAAAGCAGAAGGACCAGCACATGCCAGGAAGGGAAAAATGGACCAATATAGCAGCTCCTTGGACTTGTCTCAAGGGTATTTTGTTTAGTGAGAAAAGCCGATCTCAGCAGGATATGCATTATGGGATTCCACTCATAAAACAGTTTCAAATTGATAAAGTTATACAGATGGAGAACAAGGACAAAAACTTCCCAAATGGGGCTGGGAAGGTGGCTCAGTGGTAGAGTGCTTGCCTTTCATGCCTGAGGCCCTGGGTTCAATTCCTCAGCACCACATAAGCAAAAAGAAAAAAAGCCGGAAGTGGCACTGTGGCTCAGGTGGTAGAGCGCTAGCCTTGAGCTGAATTGCTGAGGGATAGTGCCCAGGCCCAGAATTCAGGCCCCACGACCGGACCCAAAAACAAAAACAAACTTCCCAAATGGACAGAGTAAAAGACAAAATGAAGTAGTGAGAAGGGAATTCTTTATGGTGGTAACACAGACACTGAAAGTACGTGTAAATGTTAGTGGGAACTGAATGAGGAACAAGTCCATAGTCCAGTTAACAGTACTGAATCAAGGTCAATTTCCTTGTTTTAATGTCATACTATAACTCTAAAAGAGATCACCATTGAGAAAAGTTGAGGAAAGAGGATATTTTGGCAATTTCCTATGAACTCTTAGTTGTTTCAAAGTTTTTTTTTCTGAGAAAAAGGAATATCAGTATAGCACATTTAGAAAAAATCCATTGTTTAACATAGCTGTTATCTCTATTTTCTAATTTATAAGGTAGAGGAGTCTCCAGCTTGTCTCACAAGGTTATGAGCATCAGATAGAAAACTAAGCAAAAAAAGCTTTAGTACCAGGCAGCGGTGGCTCATGCCTATAATCATGGCTACTCAGAAGGCTGAGATCTGAGGACTCAGATCAGCCAAAACAGGAAAGTGCACAAGACTCTTTATTTCCAATTAACCACTGGAAGTGGTATTCAAGGGACAGTGCCCAGTTCAAGCCCTATAACTACCAACAACAACAAAAAGAGCTTTATCAACAATAATCTCAGAAAATCTTATCAAAAACAAAATTGCTTACTAAAATATTAAATTTTAGCATTTTTATTCATTTTTTTGTCAGTTGTGGGCCTGAACTCTGGGCCTGGGCACTGTCCCTCAGCTCTTCAGCTCAAGGATAGCACTCTACCACTTGAGCCACAGAGCCACTTACAGCTTTTTCTCTTATGTGGTGCTAAGGAATCGAACCTAGGGCCTTATGCATGCAAGGCAGACACTCTACCACTGAGCCACCTTCCCAGCCCCTAGCATATTATTTTTAAAAAGTATATCTGTACCTAGACATAGTACCTAACAGGCCAGACATGACAGACCAACCATAGATGGGTGGACCAATAGACACACAGAGAGAGTCAGAGAGACAGATAGATGGACGAGAGACAGATAGATGGAGAGGTGAGTAGCAGAAAAGGGGGATACATTACCCAATATTTTTATTTTTTTTAATTTTATTTTATTTGTGAAGATACTGTACAGAGGGGTTACAATTACATGGGCAGGATAATGCGTACATTTCTTACCAAGCATTGCAGCCTCCTCCTTTTGTTTACCCTTCACATCCCTTCCCAGCCTCCCCCCTCCCCCCCATACCCAATATTTTTAGAAATAAGCTTTCAATGTAGTATTCTACAGGTTACTTATCACCACATATCACCTTTATTTTAGTCTGTTTTTAAAACTTAGGGAAAGGTTTTCCGAACAGAAAAATATTTAAAGAATCAGTAAATTTATATCCTATTTGATAAATAAGTTCTTTTTCAGATCTCAAAGTAAAAACATTATTTCAAAATTTGCAGATGTGAACAGTTATTAGCAAGACTAAAACTACCTACTTGAATGGCTTTTTTATAATCAAGCACCCCATCCAATGATCCAGAAGGAATATCATCAACATGATAAATTCTGTAAAAGCACAACAGAAAAACAGAATTTTAAAGAAAGGTTAAGGGTTATATTATTTCATAATCCCTAGATCAATTTAAAAAAATGGGTGACATCAACAAATATTGTTACTTAATATAGAAATCTGATTCTTTTAAGGACTTCTGCGTCTCCTGATAGTGGAAACAATTTACCATGTGTTTACCAGTTATGTGACTCATCTGTTTCCGAAAGCTGCATCCCAAACGTTGAGTCGTACATTCCCACTGAATTCATTAGGCTGCGAGACTTTACCTTACTCTACCAGTCAAAAGTAACCTCTAATACACTGATTTTCTGTTGTTTATATATAATTTTACTTTTAATAATTTTCCTCTGTTTAATAAAAGTAGAACTTTAATCCATTTGTGAAGCCCTAATGAATAAGATTTCTGTGCTGATGTAAAAATCTCCCCTCCCTTCCAGGTCCCGAAGCTGCACTGCTGTGGGTCAGCACCCACATCACAACGTGCATTCACAGGCAACTGCAGCATCACCACTGGCTCACTGTCCACTTGCTCCCTTGTGGACAGTGGTGGATTTTCCGGAGACAAAACTGTCAATCTCCAATCCCTAAGACAGAGTCACAAACTGACAAGAGGTGCACAATGTCTGCTGAGGAATTATTAACATAAATGGAAATTTTTTTAATTGCTAAAATATCCTAGATGAGGCTCGAGTCTCAATTTTTAATTGCAAAAATATCCTAGATGAGAAAATTACTAGACTTCTCTGAACCTGTTTTTCTCTATATAAAATAACGGTACCAATCTCTACTCTGCAGCATTTCTGAAAGGCAAAAATAAGGTGATATTGGGAAACTACAAAAGCACAGAGCCTGAAATAGACAAGGGGTTCAAGAGAACATAGCTGTAGAAGCATGCCATTTTCTAAATTTTGAAGTACTATGAATTTTTATAACTGCTCATTTGGAATTGTAATTAATTATACTCTCAAGGATGTAATAATATAAAATTTTGAATAAATTTAATAGAAGTGTATTAAAATGCAGAAAGATATGTCTAAATTGGTACTTACTTCTGCAATTTAAAGTATTTCTAATAAGCATACCTAGTTTAACAACAGGAAAGTCAAAGATTAGAATAGGAGGTCCCTTAAGAGATCATGTGTTCTGGCTCCTTCTCTTTAAACAAGAAAGGTACAAAGAAGTCCTGTCTGAACCACAGGTCCAGAGTTAAAATAAGCCTGCCTCTATATCCCATCAGAACCAAGGGGTCTAAAGTTAAATAAACCTGCCTTTCCTCCAAGAATTAATGCAAGAATCACCTCACCCTCCTAGAACGTGGGTTAATATCATTAAACCACAGCTCCATTCAGCTTTACTTAGACACTTGAAGCCAATATACCTTAATTAACCTAATATGTAAGAGTAAGTGAAGATAGCCACTTCCAGCCTTTAAGGACTTCCCCTTGTTAACACTATGCTACCTCTCTTTTGTTTTGATAAAGTAGAATAGATCAACTTAAAAGAAAATCAAATTAATAAAACATTATTTCTACCAATCAAGGCAATTGACATTTCTCATTAATGATAATTAACTATCTAGTTTAAATGTGACATGTCTGTGCATCAAAAAAGATACCTTTCTCTCCCTTCTTTTCGAGATCGTGTGATCTGATTAATTTCCAGTGCTGTGAGTTTCTTTGCCACACGGTATTGCCAGGTGTAAAATGCTTCTTTTGAAGCTGCTATCACATGGGTTTTGGTCATTGCAACAAATAACGGTACTATTAAATAGAAAACATTAAGACAATTAAGACAATTATGTCATTATACAGAATCACTATATAAATCATGGAGTCTGTCTGACTCCTCATTTTACAGACACTATACCCACAATCTCTCAGAAAAGAATCAAACAATTGTAAGATCATACAAAAATATTAACTCAAAATAGATCAAATGCCAAAATGCAGGAGTTAAAGCTATTGAACATTAAAAAATAGATATGTCTTAAATATGATGCCAAACATATAAGCAACAAAAAATAAGTAACAAACTGAGCTCCCTCAAAATTAAAAAAAAATTGCTTCAAATGACATCATGAAGAAAATGAAAACACAATCCATAAAATGGAAGAAAATATTTTCAAATCATCTATCTAATAAGGAATAAGATCTCAAATATATAATTACATATATAAATACATTTTACATAGTATACACTGCTTATAATGAACTGTTAAAATTCAATAATAAATGACAAATAACCCAATTTTAAAAATAAGCAAAAGACATAGATAGTTCTCCAGTGGTGATGTACAAATAACCATAAAGCAGATAGAAAGATAGCAAAAATCAGCAGCCACCAGGAAGTGCAAATCAAAGCTACCATGAGCTAGAACAGCCAGAGTCAGTGTTGACAAGGATGTGAAGAAATGCTGAGAATGTCAAATGCACTTTGAAAAGCAGTTTGGCGGTTCTTCAACATGTTAAATGTAGCATTATTATCTGCCCTAACCACACCTAAATATAAATTCAAAAGAAACTAAACACACATCCATTCATGATGTGACTTCTGTACTATAGTGGGGTCTTATTTGTGAGAAAAGCAAAGGATGTTAGGACATCAAGAACATCTTTATAAAAGGGTTAACCTTTGCTATTATAAACACATGTCCAAACTCATACACAAATGTTAATAATATTATTATTCACAATACTCCAAAAATAGAAACAAAAGGCCTGGCACTGGTGCCATGCTTATAATCCTAGCTACTCAGAAGACTGAGATCTGAGGATCATGGTTCAAAGCCAGGCAGGAAAGTTTTTAACACTCTCATTTCCAAATAATCTTATCAAAAACCAGAAGTAGAGCTGTGGCTCAAGTAGTAGATTGCTAGGCCTGAACAAAAAAGTTAGGGACAGGAACCAGGCCCTGAGCCCTTAGTTCAATTTCCTGGACTAGCACGTGCGTGCGAGCACGCGCGCACACACACACACACACACAAAATAATTCATACTTCCATTAAGTGATGAATGAATGGATAAATGAAATCCAGCCCTTCTCTTGATCCTATAAGGTGGCCTAGAAAATTCTCCTAACTTCACTCCTAATTTAGGAACATATTCTTCCAAAAAGATAGTTTTCTTATCTGTTCTATTTCTTAGAGATGCCTGGGTGCTGTCCCTGAGCTCTTCAGCTCAAGGCTAGCACTCTACCACTTGAGCCACAGTGATACTTTCAGCTTTTTTCTGCTTATGTGGTGCTGAGGAATTGAACCCAGGGCCTCATGCATGCGAAGCAAGCACTTTACCACTGAGCCACTTTCCCAGCCCCTATTTCTTAGAGAATATTTAATTGAGCTCCTACTGTATGGACTTTTATGAAGTACACGGAGTCTCATCAAATACAATTACACATTAAAAAACACAGGAGACTAAGGCTGGCAAAACAATTCATCCATAACCACAAAATACAAAATAAATGATATAAAATTATATACACATATATATTCACACAAATGCAATCCTTAGTATAATTTTAGTAACTTTTCTAAATTCATGAATAATTAAAAGTGTACTACCTTTTTCTTTGTGTAAGTACTAGCCAAAGTAATAATCAATATACTCATAATAAAAGTATGATGTTAATAGAAGTAATGATTTATGGAGTTCAAGTCACAGTGTTTTAAATAGGACAATGAAAGCAGTAAGACTTAGAAACCAAACAAAGACTTGCCTAATAGTATGATGTTATTTGAGTATATTAACAATATGGGAATTCAAATTCAAGTAATTGTATAGTCTAAGCAACAGTATAATTGACTCGTTTAATTTTTTTTTCATTACAATTATCAAGATTTTTCTATTTGAAATGTGTACCTCTAGAGGGAGCACAAAGCCTTTCCTAGAAAGAACAAAAGCCAGCTGTAGACAATGGCAGCTAAGCCTCCAGGGGGCGTTCCCGCCTGGCCCATTGTGTTTTTTCCCAGACCTGAAATACTACTAAGACATTTACTTACTAAACATTTGGTAAGTTTCATCATGAATATTCTGAAGCTGGCAACTATTATAGCCCTAGTGTGACTTGAAGTGTGTAAACATTTACTGCCTTCTGTCTGGAAAAATATTGTTTTTCCTACACATAAAAAAGCACTTTTCCAACTAAGGGTTTAACCACAGTTACACTCATGCTTTTTCTTTTGGATACATCCAAAATACTCCCCCAAAGGTTTACAGTTGGTTTGAGTGAGTCAAAATCAAAATTAAGTGGTGCAAAGAAAGAACCAGACTTCTCAAATTCAAATCACAGACATTTGTTAACTGTGGCCCTGGATAAATTCTTTGTCCTGTCTGAACTGCAGTTTACCTGTTGTAAATGAAAGGTAATAATGATGCCAAGTTTATAGTGTTGTTTTCAGAATTCAAGGGAAAAAATCAATATAAAACATAGCACGGTGTCTGGCAAAAATATATAATAATTACCAGGCAACCACTATGTAAGGCAGACAATATTATCTACATTTAGCAGATAAGAAAAAAAAGCAAGGCATGCATAACTATAACTTGCCTATGTCATATCCCTAGGAAGTGGCAGAGATGGATCCTGTGGCCCCAGGATCAGTACCTTAACCACTGTGGCCAACTGGCCCTTTTAAGAGCTAGGAAATGGTGGCCAGGGTTGCCATCATTACTTTTATTATCTAAAATGTACAAATTCTCCAAACAAATACAAATATATCTAAAACATAACTTCTTTAGAATCAATACAGTAGCAATTTCAATAAGTTCACATGGGTAAATAATAGCGTTTCTATAACATTTGAGAGATTTGTAAGGCATCTGTTACACCTAGATGAAGCGTCTTAGAAAAAGCTTAAATTTAAAGAGAATAATGTTTTAGGAGAACCTCATAACTGACTCAACTATTTAACATCTGGAAAGAAAAATTCTAAAGGTCTAGAAAGATTATTGGAAAAAAGAATGAGAAAATAATTATGCTTCCATTAATTGAACTTTGTAACGCTAATAGGGAACCATTACCAGCCAAGCTAGATTGTAAAATAGTTGGAAACAATTTAGAAATTCATAAATAAGGAAAAGCTGCTTGTAATATTTTAATGCTGAGTGAAAGGAATGTCTCTGTCTGTAATGTTTCCCCACTCTCCATTTGGTTACCTCTTAGCAGGTGAACTGAAGTTGTACTGAAATGTTTTCAGGAAGATTTTTTTTTTTTTTGGTCAGTTGTGGGGCTTGAACTCTGGGCCTGGGCGCTGTCTCTCAGCTCTTCAGCTCAAGGCTAGCACTCTACCACTTGAGCCACAGTGTCACTTCCTAGAAAGATATTGCTCTAGACTACATGGGGAAAGGTCAGGTCCTGGCGAAAGCCAGCCTTAGAACACTGACTGCTGTGCACCCACCGTTATGACAGCTGCGCGGGTGACCTCTGTTCCCACCCACAAGGATGGCTGCGCCGTGACCCAGGCCCCCAACACAACGATGGTTGCTTGTGACCTGTACTTTCTAACCACTTTGTATGCCTCCATTCCCCTGAGAACAGTATCTCCTCTCCTTAAAATAGCACCTGGAGAAGGACTTAACTCACACACTCAGCCCAAATGCTGTCCTGGCTTCCTTACAAGCCAGCCTCCATTTCTCCAGCACCTACACAGCACCTGCATACTGCAGGGGGACAAGTCATGGCCTGATGCACAGACCACATCTCAACATCCTAGAAGAAATGTCATCATTTACTTCTCGTGACTCCCAGGGGCCACTACAGTATGTGAACCAGAGCACACTTAGTGTTGACTTGCTAAACGCTGTTTGTCTGTGCATTTATTATTTATTAACACATTTATTATGTGTTAAGCACATCATCAGGTATGAGGGATACAGAAATTAACCAGATACAGATCTTTAAGAAGTTTAAAGGCTAATCAATACCCACAGTGCAGGGGAAGAAGTGCTCTGGAGAGAAGCACAGCAAAGAATGGAGGACTCCACAGAATAGCATCAACAGAGGCTACACAAACTCACACTTGGAGTGATACAGAGCCCTATGAACCATGCTGCCATAGTATGTAAAGTTCTTTTAGAAAGACTCTACAGAGCTGGGTGCTCAAGTCTAATCCTAGCTACTTGGGAGGCAGAGATGGAGGACGGCAGTTGGAGGCCAGCCTGAAATAAAAGTTACCAAGGCTCCATCTCAACAAAAGGCTGGGAGCTGCGATGCACACTGGTTATCCCTGCTCTAGCAACCATCTCCAGGAACACAGAGAAGCACAAGGATCAAAGTTCAGGCTGGCCTAGACATAAAGTGAGACCATACCTCAAAAATCATCAAGGCAGGCTTGAAGGTGACTCAGTGATAGAGTGCTTGCCTAACATACATGAAGCCCTGGGTTTGGTTCCTCAGTACCACATATATGGAAAAAGCCAGAAGTGACTCAAGTGGTAAAGTGATAGCCTTGACCAAAAGAAGCTAAGGGATAGAACCCAGGCCCTAGTTCAAGTCCTAGGACTGGCCAAAAAACATAAAAATAAAAAATCATCAAGGCATAAAGGGGCTGGAGGTGTGGTTCAAGTGGCAGAGCAACTTCCCTCCGAGCATAAGCCCTGAGTTGAGTCCCTCGTGCCCTTAAAAAAGATTCTAGCGAAACTATCAAGATTAGAAATAATATAAGAAAAACAACACCTTCACTGTTGTTTTTCTCTCCATCCTTGTGAAAACTGTTCATAGAAACATTAGGTAGAATTTTACAGAATATGTGTGAAAAAAAAAGTCTGTTGCTGTGTTTGCTGCAGAGCAATGAAAGAACTGTTTGTTAAAATTTCCGCCAGTAAGACTGTTTAAAAAAAAGTTTTAAGACTCATAAATACAAATCAGGCACCCAAGTATTTGCCATTTTATGAAAGGGAGAGATTTAAATTTTATTTTTTTTAAATAGTCTACCTGAGCCAGGTGTGGTGACTGATGCCTATAACTCAGTAACTACTCAGGAAGCTGAGACCGGATGAATGTGATTCGAGGATAGACCAGGCAAAACATTTGTGAAACTCCCGTCTGGTGGTTAACCCCTAGCTGGGTGCAGTGGCACATACCTATTATCCTACTACCCAGGAAGTGCAGATAGGAGGATCCTGGTCCAGGCCAACCAAGTAAGCAACAAAGTCCTATTCAAAAGTAAAAAATGCAAAAAGGGACAGGCATGTAGCTTAAATGGTAGGCAAACTACGTGGCAAGCACAAGTTTCTGATTTCATATCTTATACTGCCCCAAAAAGTCTTGATAAAAATAACTTGGATCCTCACCCTATCACCATGAGATTCAACGTTAAAAATTGTTATATTAGGGCTGGGAAGGGGGCTTAGTGGTAGAGCACTTGCCTTGCATGCTCGAGGCCCTGGGTTCCATTCCTCAGCACCAGTAAGAAAAAAGCCGGAAGTGGTGCTGTAGCTCAAGTGGTAGAGTGCTAGCCTTG